GTTACAAAGGTTAACCTAGACTATTATATCATCATTAATGACAGGCCCAGAAACATAGGCATTACACTCATCCCATGACATCTCTTCTCAATATGCTCCGGTATATGGTACACGAACCATAGCATCACTCCTCCATCTGCTCCGATGTGTGGTACTCGAACCATAACATCACTCCTCACTTCACTCCGACGTATGGTACTCAAACCATAACATCACTCCTCAATCCGCTCCGATGCATGCTACTCGAACCATAACATCACTCCTCTATCTGCTCTGATGTATGGTACTCGATGTAACACCCAAAGTTGGAAAGCCAGGAAAAGAAAGAAAACCCCAATTTTAAGGGGAGACTCGGCGAGTCCGAGCGAGATCCAGGTCGAGGTGTAAGCGACCGACTCGGCGAGTCGAGCAAGGTGACTCGGTGAGTCTGGTCTGGGCAAGGAAAACCCTAAATCCGGGACTTAGAGCTTATTTAAACACCTCATTCTCTTCCCTAAGGCTCCTTTAGTGCCTCTTTCACTCAGAACAATAAACCCTAGCCGCTATAATCGTTTTGGAGCAAGATCTAACCCTTGGTTAAGCTTTTTGGAGCTTGAGAGAGAGGATAGTCATTGTGGAGCAAGAAGGGGGCCTTAGATCCAGAGTTGGTGGAGTATTTCTGAGCATTTAAAGGTAATAAATCGTTACCTTCCTTCTTTTGTTTAATAGATCAACCTTGGCTATGAGATTTGGAGCTTGTATGCCATGCTTAAGCAACTATTTCGAGTTAGAAGCCAGATCTGAAGTTACTACTTCAGATCTGAGTGTATCTTGGCCTAGAAAGTCATAACGCATCTGTTCTTAGGTTGATAGTGAAGCTTCTTTGTCTTAAACCCTAGTTTGGATTGTTTTAATCCTAGATCTCTTGATCTACACGTAATGTTTGCCACTTTACATGACGGATAGGCCCTAGAAGTATGGATCTATGAGTTGGAAGCCCTGTTTGGCTCGAAAAGCCACAGCATGGATTAAGGACTAAATAGACTCGGCGAGTCCTTTGAGTGGACTCGACGAGTGGTATGAAGATGGAGGCGAACTCGACGAGTTGGATGAACAACTCGGCGAGTGTGTTGAATAGCTAGATAGTAGTAGTAGTGTTGTAAGTCTGCGGGGGTAGCCGTAGCATTCACTAGCAGTCAGGTAGTAGTAGTAGTGTTGTAAGTCTGCAGGGGTAGCCGTAGCATTCACTAGCCGCCAGATAGTAGTAGTAGTGTTGTAAGTCTGCGGGGGTAGCCGTAGCGTTCACTAGCAGTCAGGTGGTAGTAGAGTAAGGTAAGCCTGCAGGGGTAGACGTAGCGTTCTCTAGCATCCAGACAGTATTGGGGTGTTGTAAGTCTGCGGGTGTAGCCGTAGCATTCGCCAGGTTAGTAGACAGAATGAGTGCGTTGTTTTGGACGCAGGGGGAAGCAGTAATACCCACTAGTTCGTGTGCAGCAGCGATCATATGGAAATCCACAGGTTGGATTTCGAATTTTCCAGAGTTTAGTCATGGTTGAGCCAGTTATGCGACAGATGGATCATCATCACAGTCATGAGATCAGTGAAGCAGCGAACCATTGGGGTTTATGTATGTTAAGGGCTACCATTAGCCTGGGAGCCATCATTATAGTCTTGGATTTGTTTAGGTTTGGACCCGGTCGGTTGGATCGGGAGGTCGTTAGGACCACAATAACAGGATGACTAGTGGAAACTAGTTCCAAAGAAAGGTTTCGTTCAGGTAGTCCAGTGTTTCAGGCAGTTCAGTGTTGCAGGTAGTCCAGTGTTTCAGGCAGTTTAGTGTTTCAGGCAGTTCAGTGTTTCAGGCGGTTCAGTGTTCCAGGTAGTTCAGTGTTTCAGATGTTTGCAGTATTTTTGGACAGTATTAATTTTGTTTCGGACTGCAAGTTCAGCCTTATTAGTTGGACCTGGGTGGTCTCAGTTCATCCGGAAGCCAAATTTGGAATCGCAGAACTTTCAGTCAGTAGCAGTGCGAGTATGCAGCATATGGTAGGTTTCAATCTGTTGTTCGTGGGGTGCGCAACACCAAATGGTAGTAGAAAGAATGCCTAGTGGATACTGGCGACGATGACCCATACTGTGAGTAGCGGGAGTAATAGATTTGGTGGAGACAGGGTCTTCACAATGGTGGAAGAGGTAGGTAGTTATGGAGCATCGCCTTGGGAAGGCAAGGAAATCGTGCAAGGAAAGAAGGGGTGAACCCCTACAGGGACAGTGCAGTATTTGGAAAGTATCAGAAAGATTTTCGGTTGAGTGCGTTGCGTTTCCAGAATGTTCAGGGTCAGGATGGACCCGAGATTATTATCGGTAAGGATTGTCATTGGTCGGAATAACTGAGCGGAAGGCCAGCGAAGGTAGGCAGCTGGTGTTAGAATGAGCGGTGGGGTATTGGAGGCAGTACGCAATCGGTGTATCATAGCAAACTTCGAGGATGAAGTTTAGTTTAAGTGGGGGAGAGTTGTAACACCCAAAGTTGGAAACCCAAGAAAAGAAAGAAAACCCCAATTTTAAGGGGAGACTCGGCGAGTCCGAGCGAGATCCAGGTCGAGGTGTAAGCGACCGACTCGGCGAGTCGAGCAAGGTGACTCGGTGAGTCTGGTCTGGGCAAGGAAAACCCTAAATCCGGGACTTAGAGCTTATTTAAACACCTCATTCTCTTCCCTAAGGCTCCTTTAGTGCCTCTTTCACTCAGAACAATAAACCCTAGCCACTATAATCGTTTTGGAGCATGATAAAACCCTTGGTGAAGCTTTTTGGAGATTGAGAGAGAGGATAGTCATTGTGGAACATGAAGGGGGCCTTGGATCCAGAGTTAGTGGAGTATTTATGAGCATTTAAAGGTAATAAATCGTTACCTTCCCTCTTTTGTTTAATAGATCAACCTTGGTTATGAAATTTAGAGCTTTTATGCCATGCTTAAGAAACTATTTCGAGTTAGAAGCCAGATCTGAAGTTACTACTTCAGATCTGAGTGTATCTTGGCCTAGAAAGTCATAAAGCATTTGTTCTTGGGTTGATAGTGAAGCTTCTTTGTCTTAAACCCTAGTTTGGATTGTTTTAAGCCTAGATCTCTTGATCTACACGTAAAGTTTTCCACTTTACGTGAGGGATAGGCCCTAGAAATATGGATCTATGAGTTGGAATCCCTGTTTGGCTCGAAAATCCACTGCATGGATTAAGGACTGAATAGACTCGGCGATTCCTATGAGTGGACTCAGCAAGTGGTATGAAGATGGAGGCGAACTCGACGAGTTGGATGAACAACTCGGCGAGTCTGTTGAAGATTGCCTTTGACTCGGTGAGTCTGTTCTTGGACTCGGCGAGTCAAGTCGCAAAACCCTAAACCCTTCGAGTCAAGGCTCAGATTAGTGAGTTGAGTGGGGACTCAGTGAGTTGGACAGGACAGAACTTGGAAATCAGTGAACTCGACGAGTCAGTAGACTGACTCGGCGAGTAGGGTCAACATGGAAGGTTGACTTTGGCCAGCACTTTGACTTTGATCGAAGTTGAGTTAGTTGACTTTTAGAGGACTGTCTAGCTAAGTGTTTCTTTGTTATTGGTAGCTCGGAGAGTTAGAGGAGCAGTGTTTCAGACGGTGGTTGGTTAGCAGTCCGAGGGTTACCAGTAGAATTTAGCAGTTCAGGTGAGTTTCCTTCCAGTAGGAACGGGTCTAAGGCCACAATGCTGGCCCGTTCAGTTAGCAGTAGTTTCCGAACTTTAGTCCGATGCAGTAGTTAGTATGTTTGATGCCTTCGTAGCTCATACAGGATTTATGTGCTATGTGTTATGTGTTATGTGTTCCGGGCTACGGCCTGATGCAGTATGCAGTATATGTGTTCATGCTAGTTGATATGTTATGCCATGTTATGTTCAGTCAGTTTCCGGACTTCGGTCCGATGTAGGGGCAAGGCCCCAGTTAGTCCGGACTTCGGTACGATGCAGGGTCCCAGTCAGTTTCCGGACATCAGTCTGATGCAGGGGCAAGGCCCCAGTTAGTCCAGACTTCGGTCTGATGTAGGGGACAAGGTCCCAGTTAGTTTCCGGACTTCGGTCTGATGCAGGGGGGCAAGGCCCCAGTTAGTCCGGACTTCGGTGCGATGCAGGGGACAAGGTCCCAGTTAGTTTCCGGACTTCGGTCCAATGCAGGGGGCAAGGCCCCAGTTAGTCCGGACCTCAGTCCGATGCAGTGGGCAAGGCCCAGTATGTGCTTTATATGTTATTGTATGGTATGTGGTAGTTTGGGGGAGCTCACTAAGCTTCATGCTTATAGTTTCAGTTTTTGGTTTCAGGTACTCAGTTTTCAAAAGAGGAGCTCGGAAAGATTGTAGTGCACACACCATAGTCAGCTAGCCTGGGATGTTCTACTCTGATAATAAGTTGTATTTCGAATTAATGCTACGAAATTATGTTATGATTTATGTTATGGTTTTTATGAATATGGTTTTTAGTAATGTTTTAAAAAGAAAATTTTAGTTGTGATTTTTGGGATGTTACACTCGAACCATAACATCACTCCTCCATCTACTCATTAGAACCTTCAGAATACTCCCTGTATCAAGTATGGGTCCTCTGCTTTTAGTAGTACGGGCCCATACTGTAAAGTCCCGAAAATCGATCTACCAACGATCAAAGACAATAACAGGTGCAAACACGAATTAATAAACCAATAAAGAACAAAATACCAAGCTTGCATACGCTTTAATACTGTAAAACGTCTGATACAACTTGGAAGTATACGAAAGCATCAACAACTCATAAAGACTGACACAACTCGCTATTTAAGGACTTGACTAGGAACCGTAAGGTGTTTACGGCCGTAAAGAGTTTACGGCCGTAAACCCACTTTGCTCATAAACACCGTAAACTCAGAACAAAACACGAATAACTACATTTCTACTGCTATCTATGACTATGCCTAGACCAAACCATTTTACAGGGTCTTTCAATCTCCCCCTTGGTTTGGACTAGCTTGGCCCCATTCCTTTCTTCACCAGCATGACATCCGATTGACCCATAGCACCATTCCACATCCTTTTGCTCAAAATCTCAGCAACCATCCTGGTATACGCCTTGGCTCCTTGTTCATAGATATCTTCAACCACTTTGATTTGAAAGTTGCTCAGATAATTAATATCCCTCTTCCTGAACTGCAGAAGCTCTCTTCGATCATACAACCGTATGCACCCATTCTTGAGCTTAATGACCGCACCACAAGTATTTTCATCATAAACCCAACACTCCATAGAACCGAGAGATCCGTCTTTATAACCTTGAACAATGGGAAATTGTTTAACTTGAGTCGTGGGTGGCCACATAACCAACTGTAGTGGTTTATCAGAAGAAGCTTCAAACACATCTGAATGTTCCAGAATGATTGACTCAGCAGTTGGCATTATAGGAAATCCCTTCTTTACTTGCTCATCTAGAAAGAATTTGAACTGCGAAACCTGAGAATTATTTAATAGATTGATAAACGGAGCTTGTGATAACTCCGTAAGATCAACCCTTGTCAATGAACTAAAAGCACGAATATCCTTATACAACTCTGAATTACCACTCTTGCGAATAATAATCCAAAGTCGAAGAGGATCATGAAATCCCCAAGCAGCTACACCCGACCGATCTCCAAAAGTATCTCTGAATCGAACAACTTCAAGATCAGTGACAGTGATCAAAGATTCCCCTTTAGAATTGCTCTGAGTAACATTTCGCTTGAACAACAACTGCCCTCTTTTAGTATCATCTTCCTGATTTTTCCGAATGATCTCTTGAATATGAGAAGCCATAGGAGGAACAACTCCAATACACTCAGCAGAACCAGAAGACTGACTAGCTGGCACATCTACTGGATATGCTTGTACATGTAAATTTATTCTTTGTTCTTCTACGCTTGTTTTATACTTTTCAACAAAATCATCCTCCAGTTTCTTTTTCAGTTCGAAGTAGCTTGAAGTCAGCAGATTGAAATGTTCTTGAAGATCAGAAATCTGCTTATCTTTTACTTTTCTATCCCTCTTAACTTCTGCAAGTTGTCCGCCAAGATAAGTTCTATCCGACTGAAGTTTAGACACTTGAGTACGTAGCTCAATGTTCTGAGCACGAAGTTCAGCTACCTGAATGTCAAGCTCTATGTTCTTCTGACTTAAAACCGAGATCTCCTTTCGTAAACTATCATCAGATGAATCATCATCAGGAACACCCCCTTCACTCATAGAAATGTTCCTTTCTTGAGGGCTAGACGAACGAAGCTGTTCCTCTGCCATATGCAAAGCTAGTCTCTCAGAAGCAGCATCCCTATTAAATCTTGGAACAGAAAAACCAGGAGGAGCTGAAGGGCCACCAACATCAAAGACTGAACTAGGTCCAGTTGCAAACATCTTTGTTACAGAAAGTCGTGTAGTAGCAGTAGTGATTGGTGGTGTAGGAAGACCACTCACCAAACTAGTAATTAGCTCGGATTGTCTTTCATCAAGTCTTCTCCTCTTAGATTGAGGATGCTCAGCCTGTAGAGGTATTACACTGACAAATGGTTCAGATGTAGGAGAAATAGACACGGGAGGGGAACATCCCACAACTACCTCCATTGGAGTTGAAGTTGACACCATCTGCTCGGAAATTGGAGTAAAAGTTTCGCTCGTTTTTCTTTTCTCAGTTGACGGCAAAACACTATCATCGACATTTTGAAAAATCGTGTCAAATATCTCGTTGGACACAACATTAGCACTACTAGCTAAAGAAGCCGCAATATCATCATTATCAAATCCCGTAAGATCAAGATCTTCAAATGAGTCTCGTCCATCATCACCGGTACCTATTTCCCTTTCATCCTGTCTTTCACTCGACTCATGTTCATGACTAGAGGTACTTTGATCTCTCTGAGCTTGTGAATCTTCATCATCTTCAGTCACGTCTATCACAAAGTTTGCTGGAGTCGAACCCTCAGTAGACGTTTTCTCAGAGGAAGTCGGTTCTGATGATTCATATGACACTGGCGTCTCATCCAATTCTGTAAACTTACCGAATTTTTCCAATCGATAACGCCCTCGAAAGACAACTTTTCCTCTTCGGTTTTGCTTAATGAGTCCCACAGTGTGTGGACCCAACGATTTCATATCCAGGGTATCTCCTGACTTCCTAACCTCAGGAAACTGCATCTCGACAAACAATTGAATGAAGCGGGGATATTGGAGAAAAGTATCCCTTGTAGAAGCCCGGATGTTTATGACAAATTCCTCTAGGATGAACTTTGAGAAATTGAAATGAATTCCAGAGGCCAAAGATACCAATGCACCAGTTGTGCGTTGAGAAATTTCATCATGCCCACTCCTTCTACCGGATATACAACTTACGAACACATGAGCCAGAAATCTCCAATATGGATGAAGCAGCTTTTTCAACGTTGGCGGGTAGGTTCCTTCATAACTCATACGTCGTAGTATTCTCTGAACATCCTCTATTCCAATTTCCGTCGGATAGTTCGGTTGATCATCAATCAGCAACGCATTTCGAACAAAACTTTCATCGATTACAATATCTCGTCCTTGCACCTTCGCCCGCGACTGTGAAATTTCCATCATCATCCAGTTGCGTCCTTGCCGTCACCCAAAACTCACGAACGATGTTCTGATAGATCACCGGATTGACTGTCAAAGCTGATGCAATACAACATTCACGCAACCTGTGAATCATTGAAAGCATGTCGGAATGAACGACAGGTGGATCAGCAAGAACTATCGCCAGATTGTGCATGTCTGCAAACTTGAGATTTGCCATTTTCCTGCACTCAAACACAATTGTAAGAAACCTACACCAATGATAAAACTTATTTTGACAAACATATGACAGTAAAATTTGATCAAAATAAAAATTATTTATTAGAGATGTATGTTTCTTAAAAATTAAACCTTTTGACAGTTTTGGTTCTTGGGCCGTAAACTCTAGTTTACGGCCAGAAGAACTCCCTTAGAAAAATTTAGGTTCACGGTTTAAGCAAGGAAAAAAAACAATTGTTACCCAGTCAAACAAACAATTTGAATCGACAAATGTTCTTGGGCCGTAAACTCCAGTTTACGGCCTAGAAATTACTTCGAAAATACGATGCATAATTATCATTGAAATATTTCAAACCGTCCAGAAAAGTTACACTTGAATTCACGGGCCGTAAACTGGGAGTTTACGGCCTATGAATATCTACACCGAAAAAGGCCAAAAATTTGTCTTTCACTTTGAGATGACAAACGAGAAGCATATAGTCGTGAACACAACGAGAAGTCGCGTCATTACAAAACAATTTCGAATCCAAATCATCAAGTTTCAGAGTTTACGGCCTAAGCTTACGGCCGTAAACTCCTCAACTTGAGTTTATTTAATTTTAAGCACAATGCGATGAGATTCCGTGAAACGAAATATATATTCATGATCTACACGATGCTACCTTCACGATGATATACTTGTTTTTCCGAAAATCGAAGAAAAAATTTCTGACACCTTGAGAGCCTTTCGGGAGAGGTTTGCGGCCGGAAACTGATAAGTGGGGAGATTCCGGCCGTGAACTCCCCCCCTTTTTTTTTATCCTTTTACCTTTCCACCTTTCTTACCCTCCTGCCTGTGAGCTACCCAGTCTGTCTAATTTTTCGCCAATTAATAAAAATAAAATCTTTTGAGGATTAATTTAAAAATAAAAATAAAAAAACACACCATGAAGTTTTTAAGTGCTAGAAAAATAAAAATAAAAATAAAAATAAAAATAAAATTTAACATAAAAATTAAATAAATAAAAATAAAATTAAGAATAAAATTAAAATTAAATTAAAAATAAAATTAAAATAAAAAAATAAAAATAAATAAAAAACCATCGTCAAATAAATTAAGAACCATTTTAACTATCGTTTCTTTTGTGATGCTTGGATCAAAGATATTGAACGGCCTTATTCTACTTGTCGGTACCCTTATTTTCACATCCTCGTCTGACCGATTGCCAGTATTGTGGTCCACTTAAACGCGAAAGATTTGTGACATTTTGGACCTTTTACCAATGACATGATTCGGGCATATACCTAATTGTAAATTTATGGTAATTATTATATCTCCTAAATCTTACGTGAAATTTCCTTGTGACCATTTAATTGACTACGACCAGGGATATTGTTATCCACCTAAATTGAGCAGCGAGATCTACAGACAATCTGTATGAGTTCAATTTTTAGGTGTACTAGAACGTGTTTCTCGCTTCCTGATATGCCCCAGCCATCAAGAACTTCCAGAGTACTCCTTACACCGGGTGAGCAGACAATCATTCAGAGAGAGAAGGGATACAGAATTCTATTGCTAACTACTTTAGAGGGTTGAGAAGAAGAAGGTTGCATATGCTGTGTACCAGGTCGGATTAGAAGTCGCGCAAAGGAGACAGCATATGGCTAACAGATAAGAAGTTTTCACATACATCACACATATATTTATATATCCTACAGAGAAATAGAGTTGCATATGTTATCCAGGTCGGATTCAATCACGCAAAGGACAACATATGACTAACAGAAGAAAGAAAGAAAAATTATTCTACAGACCTAATTTATCGGAATTTACCAGTCGCCCCATCCAACCGGAATTAAGGACAGAATCCGCACATCGAGGAAAAGTTAAGCCACGGTTCCAAGTACGGGTTCAATTAATGTGACGAGTAGATTCTCTTGTTTATCTCCCTGCTCAACCTATCCGAGCGTCGTGATGTCAGATTAAACGGATCTAACTAGGTCAAGTTTGTCGAGTCCTTACATTCATTAGGTTCAACTTTCCTAGTCAAGTCCCCCTTTTTAAAATCTTTCGCGCCTACCAGCACATCGAGCGCAGAGCGTAGATGATTCAACGTAGGTACGTTACGCCGATTCAGGTCGTCCTTTATCACTTATTAATATCATTTCCCATCACACTACTTACAACGAAGGCTGCTTTGAAATAACTCTAATTTAGATTATTTACTGAAATGACATTATTTTTGGATTTTTGTAATTTTTGTTGTTTTTGTATTTTCTTTCTCCCCCTAAATTTGTGCATAGTTAAGAGTTGTAAACAAAAGAAAAAATATGCGCAAATTTAAACATACCGAACAAAAAAATGAAGACAAACTTGGTAAAATGTTAAAATAGACTAAGAAGACCAAAAATGAAATAAAATTAAAATTAAAATAAAATTAAAAATAAAATAAAAAATAAAATAATAAATAAAAAAAAAAAAACAAACAAAGAAAAAGAAAATTAAAAAAAATTAATCCTCAAAACGTATCATTTTCAGAAATCCCACAAGCACATCAAAACGAGCTTTGTTAAAAGGTTTTGTGAACAAGTCAGCCACATTGTTATCAGTGTGGACTTGTTCGATTCGAATTAAAGATCGTTCATAACAGTCTCTGATAAAGTGAATTTTAATATCGATGTGCTTGGTTTTAGAGTGTTGGACTGGGTTCTTAGCAATTTGTATGGCAGCCTCATTATCACAATAGATAGGGGTTTCTGAGTAATTCAAACCGTAGTCCAACGGCTGATGTTGGATCCAAATAACTTGAGAACAACAAGCTGATGCTGCCACATATTCTGCCTCTGCTGTCGAAGTCGAGACAGTGTGCTGCTTCTTGCATTGCCATGAAACTAGTCTGTCACCTAGGTATTGACATCCTCCTGAAGTTGATTTCCTGTCAAGCTCACAACCTCCATAATTACTGTCAGTAAAAGCATAAAGATTAAATTCAGAATTCTTCGGATACCAAAGACCCAATTTAGGGCTTCCTTTGATGTACCGAAAAATTCTTTTAACAGCAATAAGATGAGAGAGTTTAGGATTAGCCTGAAAGCGAGCGCATTAACAAACTGCGAACATAATGTCTGGTCGACTTGCAGTAAGATACATTAGGGATCCGATCATCGATCGATAAAGAGTTTGATCTACGGGTTCGCCTTCTGGATCTGGAGTCAGGAGGGGTCGTTCAGCCATCGGTGTTGAGGCAAATTTAGCATCATGAAGTGCGAACTTCTCAAGAATATCATCCACGTACTTGGCTTGATGAAGAAGGATGCCGGTTGAATTCTGTTTGACTTGAAGCCCCAAAAACATGGTCATTTCTCCCAAAGAACTCATTTCAAATCGTTTCTTCATTACACTTTCGAACTCCTTGCAAAGTTGTTGGCTTGTTGATCCAAAGATTATGTCGTCAACGTATATTTGAACAA